CCAGGGACCTGGGAGCTCAGACAAGGCAGCACAGTGAGAGCAGAGGAATCCCATCTCAGGGGACACTGGCAGGGAGATGGTTGGATTTTGCAGCCAGAGAAGTCTGTGCATGCAGAATCAGATCAGGTTGCTGTTGAAAGCCTCATGACTGCTGTTACAGCTTCATGGGCCAGGTCTGCATGCCTCATGCATCTACAACTCCTGGTACTGGGGGAGGTGTGGTGGTCAGGACACAGCCCAAAGCCTTGTTTAACTCAGTGATGTATGCTGATCAAACACCTCCTCCAGGGTTCTCAGTGTATTCATAGAATAGCAGAATCATGGAATCATAGAATAGTTTGGGTTGGAAAGGACCTTAAGATCATCCAGTTCCAACCCCCCTGCCATGGGCAGGGACACCTCACACTAAACCATCTCACCCAAGACCTCATCCAACCTGGTCTTGAACACTGCCAGGGATGGAGCATTCACAACCTCCCTGGGCAACCCATTCCAGTGCCTCACCACCCTAACAGGAAAGAATTTCCTCCTTATATCCAATCTAAACTTCCCCTGTTTAAGTTTTAACCCGTTACCCCTTGTCCTGTCACTACAGTCCCTAATGAGGAGTCCCTCTCCAGCATCCCTATAGGCCCCCTTCAGATACTGGAAGGCTGCTATGAGGTCTCCACGCAGCCTTCTCTTCTCCAGGCTGAACAGCCCCAACTTCCTCAGCCTGTCTTCATACAGGAGGTGCTCCAGTCCCCTGATCATCCTCGTGGCCTCCTTTGGGCTTGTTCCAACAGTTCCATGTCCCTTTTATGGGGGAGGTCTCACAAGAGCAGAGTAGAGGGGCAGGTATTAGTACTTTCCAGTTTCATGTTCGTTAGGAAATACGCAACCTAACAGCACCAACTAAAACGAGCCGCTGGTGTATGATGCTGATGTCAAATAGTTGGCTGTAATTGCCCTAACCCCAACAAGTGAAGGATGTGTTGCATTTATACTGAGGCTTTTCTAAATATTTTCTTTTCCCTCTTCTGAGCCTTTTTACCATTTCTCCTACACACCAACAATTGTCCAATAGTCTGGCTAAAGCCCGGAATGCTTTTTCTGTAATGGAAATAATAAACTGAGTACAAGCAATTTTTCCCCAGGACTCAAGTGAAGTATCATGTAGAAGTGTCACTCTGCAAACATATATTGTTCAGACTTCAATAAAACCCCCCAAAACATAGAAATTGGCAGGTCCTTTTTCTGTTAAAGGTATCTCCCATTATTTTGTTACCACAACCGGAAAAAAAAAGCAGCTTCCAGCAATTTAAATCTGCACATTTGAATGTAGCTGTATGAACTGGGATTCTCTGGGAAGCTGAGAGCTCACTCCTATGGGTTGTTTTTTATGTACGCACACAGTTCTGTTGAGTTTTAATAAAACTCCTTGCATGAGTCATGGTACTCATGCACAAGTATGTGCAGGCTCAGGGCTTTACATTGTAGCTGCAAGAGAGAATTAGAAATGAATCCAGGCAGGAGTTAGTTGGAAAAAACCAAAGCACCAAATCAGGTATTTGGATTCTTGTGCTGGGTAGAACAACCCGTGTGCTGAAGTTACCGATCAGTAACAATTTGGAGCCTCGCATGCTTCCTGCCATGTCCCCAACATTAGGCTCAGTGTGCTATAAAACACTGCTGCTATTAAAGAGTGGGGTGGCTGTTTCCTCCCTTCCAGAAGGGCTACATATCCTCACAGGATCCTTTTTCCTCATAATATATTTTCAATAAAAGTCTCCCAATTTTGTAATCAGTCGGGAAGAAAGAACATTTCACAATGTTCATAAGGCCTGTAGATGTTTTGACCAGACATAAGATTTCCTATTGATAGTATTAAATGCTTTGGAATGAAATGTTTTGGGTTTTCCATCTGTAGGCTGTCTGAGATGTCAGCAGCCAATATGACCTGCTCTTTCCCTTTCAGGTCTAGGAAGAAAAGGCAGCTTGTTTAACTGATCTTGCAGCAGAGAGCAGAGGTGTATATTAATGAGCTTTCTCTAATGGCACACTGGACCTATTTAGCACTACAACTGTGAAGGCTTCTCTTTCTCAGTCATAACTCATTTCCTAAGAAAATGTCAGTTATTGCTTCACCTTATGGTCTGAGCTGTTCAGTTTATAGTTTATTTCTTCTGATCTGTCCCACTGACAGATATTCCAGACAGGACTGTGATTAAATATGCTTATGAAAATGGTAAACATGTGATAATATAAACCCTTTGGGGAATATGCTGTTATTTCTGCATGGCAGCATTCTCAGGTGCATTCCAAGTATAACTTGGAAGCAAAGGAAAACCATTTTAAGCAATTACAGTTATTAGATTAAATTGTTTTGGTAGGAAAACTGTGATGTGTTTGGATCGCTGTGAGATAATTCAGTGTTTTCATAAATATGCCTTTCAAACGCATGATGCTGCGGCAGTTCCACTCCAGTGAGATTTTAGTGTAAAATAAAGATAACACATGTATTGCCATATGGCAGTGAGCTAATTCACTCCTGTAAATTTCTACAACATATTTTGTCCTAGTAGAAGCACTATTCTAAAAGCAGCAGTCGTTCTCAAATGCAGTAACTGCATCATGCTACTTACTGTAATTGCGTGGCACTGTTTAGTGTCTCTGTGTAGCGCAGCACTGTCTGAAGCGCACATTAACAACCTCGGAGTAAAGACAAAAGTGGTAATTGCAATATAGTTATTATTGTTATTGATGAACTTGTTGACGAGCTCTGTTGACATTTACAGACTTTGAGGATCATGCAGCGTTTGTTACAGTTAACCCAGGCATCAAACATCCACAAAATGTTTAAGATGGTAGGATTAAGCAGTGACAGATTGGGGCCAGATGTCTGGGAGATACTGTCAGTAGCCTTCTCAGCTGATCAAATAGCTCTTACCATCCTAAAGCCCTTTTGAAATCCCACATTGTGCTTTGTAGTTGAAGCTGAGACATTTGTGGGATTGATGGATCTTTCTGGAGGTTATTTGAAAAGAAGAATGATCCATGGCAAGTGGTGTCCCTCAGGGTTCTGCACTGTGGCCGGTACTGCTTAGTATCATCGTCAATGGCACAGACACTGGGACCAAGTGCACCCTCAGCAGGTTTGCAGAGGACACCAAGCTGAGTGGTGTGGTTGACACTCCTGAGGGACAGGATGGCGTCCAGAGGGGCCTGGACAGGCTCTGAAGATGCAGACTGCATATCTCAGGTGACTCTGGTTCTATCATGATAGCTGTGATGGGGAAAGATAGAAATTTGTACGTATCAGATAGCTGTCTACACCCATAGATCCAAATATGCCATTCAGACAGATTCAATATCTGCCAGGGCAGTAAAATGTTTAGGACAGTGAAAGCCACAGCGATCCTTTCATGTAGGAGTGGCTGGATAAGGCAGAAATTTGAAGTCTGCCTGTGTGTTGGAGTGCTTGCCGTGTTTAATCTGTAGTTTGCAGAGCTGATCTCCAACCAAAGACAGAATATGTAGCCTGCAAAATGTAACAGGGTATGATGGACCGTTCTCCATCATTCATTTAAATAGCACCAGGAGTTCAGGTGCCTCCAGTTCACAGCATCTTCTAGATTCCATCTGCATCTGCTCTCCCTTCCCACTGCCTGCAGTGCTGGATGCAATAGCTAAGTCAGGAGCTTGCACACACCAGTGTATATGAGGTGTTTGTGTCACAAAAAAGAGTGTGATGGGGATTGGCAAAGCAGTGGTTTCTGTGATGCCATCTGAAGAACCACAGCAGCGAGTGCTAAGCTGCTGAACAAAACCTTGACTCAGCAGAAGGAAGTGACAAAGCCCTAATTTTATGAAGGTCAGGAATTCACTCATGAACAAGAATCATACAAGAAAATCTGGCCCAAGGAACAGTGGGTTTAAGATACACTTTAAGATACACCTATTTTCTTTCAAAGTTGTTAGCGTTGTAGTGAATTGGCCTTTGTTTCACTAATGCATTCTTTGAGATCTCAAATCGGAGAGCAGCCAGGTTTCTGTCTGTCTAGAGACACTAGAAGATCCACCATGTCATGAAGCTGCAAAGCAGAGTGGGCAAAGTATGTGCATACCATGGCACTTGATTACGTGTGCATATGAGTATTTATACACATGTGTAAGTGCCTGGGTGCATCTTATGGGCTTGCTGGCGCATCAAAGTGCATTCACATGTATTTGTTTTCACCTATTAGCTCCCAAAGCCCACCCTAGGATAGTGCCTTCACTGAAACTTGTCAGGGAGCAATGCAAAACACCCTTCCCTCAGCCTAGTAGCTGGAAATGTTATTTATTTATTCAGATTTAATTTGAAACAGCTACTTTTGTTATGAATGCCATGCAGCACTTTATTACTAATGAAACGGGTGCTTAAGAACTCAGAATTGCTCAGGTTACTCGTTGTATAAATGCTGAGAGCAGATCTGAATGATACAGCTGGTAAAGAAAAGGGTGCAGAATAACAGCAGAGCTCTTTTGGATTGCTCTTCAAATGGATCAGGTCTTCTTGTAATAGTCCGTGCTCATCTGCTCCACTGTATAGTATTTCAGACATCTGAAACCAGGTTCTAATCCGCCACAAACAGCTTCTGCTCCTCTCAGTCTGCAGCAGCTGATTGTTACTGCCCACAGGGGTTCCTGTGCCAGTCAACATCTAAGAGAACTCGTCACAACACTTGTTCTTTCTTGAAATCTCCTGTTCTGACACCATGTCTTTAAGCGTTTGGTACTTCAGACAGAACATGTGAGATATTTATAGCCCTTGTATTATTACTGAGCTACACACCATGTCTTCAGTGACAAATTAAATGAACAGCACAAAATGTTGTGTTTCATCCATAGATTTCAACAGATGTTTGAATGTTGGTTGATTTATTGCATGTCCAACTTGGATCTTACACTGTTCTCATTGTGGCTGCGCATGGTTTATTTAATAGTACTTTACAATGACTTTTTATGACGTTTTTCAGTTTGAAGGGTGCAACAAGGCATTTTCTAGGCTTGAGAACCTTAAGATTCACCTCCGGAGCCACACTGGGGAGAAGCCATACCTGTGTCAGCATCCCGGCTGCCAGAAAGCTTTCAGCAACTCCAGTGACCGGGCAAAGCATCAGCGAACACACCTGGATACCGTAAGCATGGTTTCAGACTGGGAGCTGCTCTGAGTTTTCCAATGCTCCTTGTACACAACCTGTTCTGCAACTGGAGGGTGACTTTTCCTTTTCATGAGGAGCATCAGCTACAGGCAGCTGTACTTTTCTGTTTAACTGCATGTGCTTTGAGGAGGTTTTGATCACAGAAAGGCAAATTCAGCTGGCTTACTCATGCTGAGGAACAAGTTACTCGGGATAAGTTACTCAGCAAACTCTCCTATTGCTCTTGTTCCGGTAAGAGGAGGCAGCAGTAGAGTAAGGTACAGTGTGAGTGAAAGCTGAGTCACTGCTGCTGTATGGAATGTGTGTCATTGTCTTGCTTCCTGCCCTGTGTTGCTTCAGTAGAGTCTGTTCTGACTGAACACAAAAGCAGCTCAGATGTCTCATGGAAGGTAAATGCATCGCAGTTTTGGACATAATTTTGTAAAGGTAAAAAACGTATCTCTGATAACTATGTGAAATTTGTACATAGGAAACTGTACAAATTAACTGTAAGAAACCAAATCTTAACTGTAAGAAACAAGTCCTGATGTAAAATTGGTAGGTTCTGCCTCAACTCTACAAGTCTCACTTGTCTTGCAGAGAACACGGGAGCCTGTCTGGTGTCTGAGGCTCCAGTAAGATTAAATCACCGTATTATGGTGAAAGAAAGTCCGTGGGCAACTTTGCAGAGCAGTTAAGTAAGTCCTCAGCATAGAGCTTGTAAAGAATAACAGGCAGAGGTGTTCCTTTGTCTTTTGCAAAGGAGTGACTATATGGTTTAATGTTTGGCCAAGTGCTTATGGGGCAGAACTTTTGAGTTTAATTGATATTTACTTTTTAAGCAGCTACACATTTCAGACAGCGCAGCATTAAGGAATGTCTAATGTACATTATGCCTTGCAAAAACAAACAAGTAAGAGAAGCGAGTCAGTCACATTTTCCAACCCAAAGCACACTTACAATAACAATGTTTTATTTATTTGAAAGTCAACCTGAGATATTTGCATTTGTAATTAGCTCTCAAACGCGTCTGTTTTGAAAGCGGATGCAGGGAATCGGGTGCAGGTTTGAAAGGGAACTGCCTGAATCGAATAGATGGAATTTTTATTAGCCAAAGTCACAAGTAAAATGCCATTTATTAGTTCTGAAAGAGAATTCAAGGGGTTACTAAAATAAGCAAGAATTCTTATATCTGTTGTTCTGTGCGTTACTGAAGGCAAATCTCTTAACTTGCTGTTTTCTTTTCTTCTCCCTTTGTCTTTATTATCTGAAATGCTCATAAAGCAGGAAAAAGGTACAGTAATCATTTTCTACTAACTTTGCCAAATGTCTAAACATACCCTCCATGCTGTTCTGCTGCAGGTTCTTTAGAACTCTTTCTGTGGTCCTACAACAGAGTTACTAACTTCTTCTTACCTGGTGGAATGAAGTCCTGAGGCCTAACGTAGTGTGTTGTGTGCTTATGTGAATGTTAGAAGTGACAGAGCTATGGGATGGTGCTGCTGTACAGACTGCACGTTCCATTAGCTCAGGGGACAACATAACAGCCGGCAATGTCAAAGCAAACAGCCATGAAGCTTTTCCAGGGCAGTCAGATTTTCACCTCGTTTTCCTATCACTAAACCAAATGATTCTATCACTAATATCTGAATGACCTCAATGATTTAAAAGATACTCTGCTAGTTTCTCTGCTAAGGGATTTGTTAAAGTTTTCCATAGTTTTTCCTCAGGTGTCAGTTCTCTGTGTTCCAGACACTCCCAATAAATCTGCTTTTCCCTGTAACTTTCTGGGTAGGTGCTGTGTTAGCCTGTAAGGTCATGAGTTGGTGAATGATTCTATTATTCCTTCAGAAATTTCCTGCTGGCTGGACAGAGCAGCAACACCTATCCTCTGGAGGTACTCACAAAGAAAAGGGGTTTATATAGACTACTTATTCCTTATTGAGGGCATTTGGAATTGGTTCTGAAGCTTCTCAGTGTAGGTCACCCCATCATTCATCTTGTCCAAAAGGAGAATCTGTAAATCATTTCAGAGACTTACTGGTGTAGTTTGATCGAATCTCTACTAAATCATGTGGAAGTAGATCCTTCTCCAGAACAAAGAGAACCTATGTGTCCCTGCGGTAACAAGGGCACGTCGTCACCCCTCCAGAAGCAGAGCAAGTCGTTTAAAGGACCTCACAGTCGCTTCTCCCAAAACCTGTGGGGTTTTATTTCCCTTTGTGCATCCTCTGTCTGAAACCAAGGAGGATCGAAGAGTGTGACACTGAGGTCCTGACAAACCGGTTCTCTACCATTGAGAAGACACCGAAAGGTCTCACTGGTCCAAGTGAGCAGGCTAGGGTAGTGCTGACAGATGAGGCAAGGAAGCAGAATAGAAATGAACGTTCTGCTCAACTTTAAACCTCTGTGAGCTCTGACCTGCAGCACTCTTTCCTACACTGAAGTCAATGGTTACTTAATAACAAGCACCAGAGTCCTTTTGCTTAACTTGGAAATTGCACATCCATTATGCTGTAACACAGAGATGATGTCTCATGTGTTGGGAATAGGCATGAGTAGAACTTGGTGAGGCTTTCAGTCATTGGGACCCCAGAACCAGCGGTTAAACTGGAGCATCCTTATTCATTTATTTATTCATTTTCCTATGAGAGGAGAGCACTGGAACTGCCCGCCCAGACTCAGATGGCTTTCCCAGGAGGTAGTGCTCATACTGCTCCTACACACAAAAGCAGCAAGCTCTGCTCCATGCCAAAACCAGCTGGGAAGTTCTTCCCAGCAGTATCAACAATAGTGGGTTTTTCTTTCTGTATTGATTTGCTCAGATGTTAATGTTTGATGCAGGTTGTTTGGTTAGGAGTTATAAAAAGAAAAACATTGCTGTTGTTATTCAAAACAGGAACAAGGTATGAAGGCAATCAAATGTGCCATGCCACAAGTTTTGTTCTGCTGTATATGGAACACTGTAAAAACTATGTAAATCAGGACTCAAACCCAGAGCTTCTGTATTTATAATGGCACTGGGTAATCTAAGGATCATTTTGTCTACTTTAAATGCTAGGGAAAACCCCATTGGGTTACAGCTCATTAGCATCTAATCCAGCCCAGTAATCTATACCCAACATGCCAGAGTATCGATGTGTCAAGTGCTCTCAGTGCCTGCACAGAGTGCAAAATCAGAGCTCTCAATGTGGTTCTATTTGCATCATGTCAGGCTTGTGTGCAAAGTGGAGACAGAGCAAACGTGGAAACAGCAGAGCAAACAGCTCAGGCTTAACACTGTGTTGCACAGACCCAGCCGTCCCTCAGCTCCGTGTGCGGACTGCAGACATGCAGAGGAATGTGAACTCTTTTCCCTTTGCTCACGTTTACAGAAGCCCTATGCCTGTCAGATTCCTGGCTGCTCCAAACGCTACACCGACCCCAGCTCCCTGCGCAAGCACGTGAAAGCTCATTCTGCCAAAGAACAGCAGGTGCGTAAGAAGGTAAGACCAGGAGGAGGTGACACATCACACATCTCCTCCATGCAGTTATGTTTAACTTACCTTTAGTTCATGTACTTCCAAATCGGAGTTCTTCTGGAATATTGCTAAAGGAAAATTTCAGTTGAGTTCATCTTCCTGTTGGGTTGTAATTCCTGTTGTTAACCAGTCCACCTTATCCTGCTGCACCTTCAAGGCTACCGCCCTCTAAGTTTGGTTTGCATTTCTTTCCTGTTCATCTTACATTCACAAGCCCAAATTCTGCTGTCATTCACGTAAAATGTCCATGCATTGGGTCTCTGCCATCAGCTAATAAATACATGTTGGTAGATCATCTACAACACAAAGGAAACGAAGCCAGGATACTATGGAAATGTCAGGAAAGGAGCACTTGTAATAGAGGAGAATGAAAACCTCCACTTTTCCCACCACATCTGTATTATAAATGCATTTATAAATCATTCCAAACCCAGACTGCTAGTTATGTTTTCACTAGTATTAGATTCAAATAAGTATTTTGGTTTCTGTGGCCTAAATCCTGAACTCATGATTGAATGGGGATGCCCACAGGCACCAGCTCGGCATCAGAGACTTGTTTATTACACATTTATATACTCAGTTTGTAAAAGGATGATTGGGACCCTACAGAGCTGGTCTGGGACAAGCCATGAGCATACTTGAGGCCCAGAAGTGGCAGGGAACCCAGGCCTTAGTAAGCAATTATGATTACTTCAATAAGCAGCAATGGCCTCTTCCCCCAGCTGCCTTGCCACTGCCAAGAGCATCACAGATGAGACAGCCAGGCACGTTTAAAGGATGCAGGTGCTTAAAGGATGGAGGACAGCAGATATGACAGCCTGTCAAGACAGAGCTAGGAGCAGCTAGCTTGGAAAAATGTCCAAGGTGAAAATTAGAAATGCTGGAGAGCAAAGGGAGGAACACGTGGAAGGAAGAGACAGCAGGAGAACACAGGTGATCTTAGTTGAGGACTTTGGAATGTCAGGAAGACCTCATTCTCCTGCTTGAATACAACTGTGGTGACTTCGTAGTGATTTGTCCTTGTGTCAGCCATGCCCCCTCTCTTACACTCCTGCTGCTTCTCTTTTACAGTTTTCACTTGGCTAGATTCACCAACCTGAACGTGCAGTCCCCTTTCCTAGGACAGCTGTCTGTTCCCCAGTCCTCCCCACAATCCCTGCTCTGCATCAGGTGCATGCAGACTGAGTAACAGTGTCTAAAACATCAATGTCCAACGTTGTGCACACTGTTTCAGTCAGTCAGTCAAGAAGCACTCATTACTCTCTGAGCTTTGTGCCTGGGAGTAATTCACGCCTAGCACCTATCCAGATGTCCACAGAAACACATCTGTTGTCTCTGCATATTGGGTCCAGTCAGAACTTCTGTTTGGCCTGGCAGGAGTGGACAGGACTGCCTAGTTTGCCAGCCCACTGTTATATTATCAGGCCATGTAGTTTTACTTTAGAAGGTTCCACAGGGTTTGCTATGCACATGCCTGCCACACCACACGTCAACAAAGCTCCCAACACTTCCCTACAGCAACGTTTAGGGTTTAGTGAGAGAAAGAGTCAGAAAGCCATAGCAGTAAGTGCCCACAGAAAGAGGTGCATGAAAGCAACCATGCTCCCTATTCCAAAGGAGAGAACCCCCCATCTTTCCTTCCTGACATATTCTTGGGGAAGGAAGGAGGGAATTATTTCCTGTTACCTAGCACGAATATCATTTGTTCAGCGCTGGGTATTGGGCTGAGTGCACTAACACGTTAACATCCTTTATACCTGGGCAAAGATACAGTCCCTGGTGTTACACCCTGTGAGGCTTGTCACCTGCGGAGGGACACTTCTATTTCCACTTCTATGGTGGAAGGTGAGAAAAAACACTAAATCCAAATTTTGCATTAAGTTGTATGAAGTATTTCCTGCATAAACAGCGGAGGTCTTAGGCACAGAATCCATATAGGACAAATGTGGTACACACAGATTGCAAACTCAAGCTGCTTGCATGTACTGAGACATCAAATATCCAGAGTTTCATCTTTCTTAATCTCCTAGCTTGAGGAGTTTTCCTGCATTCATATACACACCCTCCCATAGACTTATCAAGTCTATCTTAAAATAATGGTAGTTCCTTGCCTCCCACACCTTATTTGGTAGACCAGCCTAAATCTGCACTCCTCCAGTGGTTGGAAATCAGATTTCCTGTCTCATTTATCCATGATAACTTTATGAGTCCTTGATCCTGTGTCTTTTTCCCTTGAACTTTAAAGGCATCTGCAAAAGCAGCAGATTTAAACTGCCTTTTCATCAGGGTCCCCTTAAAAGGGACCAAAGCAAATCTGACTCATGAAGAAATAATACACACACATGCACTCCCCCCCCCCCCAATATTTCACTGAAATGTATGGGGAAAAGCCCCTTTCACAGCTAAGTAAATCTCAGTGTTACTGAAACAGTGACAGTCTTCTTTGGATTTCAGATTAGGGAAAAAGGGGAACAGGCTGTTTACACTCACTGGCTGGTTTTTGGTTATAACTCAGCAAAGGCAGTTGTCCATTGGCATCAGCTTCCCGGGAGTTCTGAGTGGAAATGGCTTAGCCAAGACAGAAAAGTTAACTGGCTTCTCTGCCCACACGGCTTGGTTGATACATGCTACCAAAATGTGCCACCTCTGACACAAAGCAAAATGCCTGAGCTTACACTGACATCAAAGGAATCCTGAGTATTTAGTTCATAACTCAGGAGGTGACTGCAGTGGTAATATTTGGTTGTTCTGCAAGGCTTTACAAGAGCAAAATAGGAGAAAGTTAGCTGTTAATTTAGTAGTAGTTTAAATGTAATTGGCTGCAGATGCACTTTGTGATCCAAAAGTTAGATGTTTATCTTGAAGGAACAAATGGCTGTACAGCAGAGGTCTAAATAGGTTTGCCTGGACCTTTTAGAATAACCAAACCCAGGGGAGATCGGTATGCAAAACTGTAAACGCAAAGACAATAACTATTTATTAATGGCTATAGAATATGATGGCTGTTTGTGTAATGTGAGCACTATATTATGGCAAAAGCTTGGCAGCATCAGCATGTTTGAAAGAGAATTAGAAATGCTTTTCTTTCTTAATTCTCCTCTCCTGCTGGTTTTAATATGATCGACGTTGTGGTTTGCAAGAGTTTGCTTCAGACACTTGTGCCAGAGCTTTCATTTACATGGAGCACAGCTGATGTATCGGTGATACCTCCTACCCGTTACTGACAGCGCATTATTCCACCAGTCCTAATCTGATAAGCACAAGCGCTTTTCTTTCCCTATCAGATGTCTTTCCAAGTGTCACAGTTACAAGGTGAGGCAATCCTTTTGCCACAGAACCCAAGGAACTATGGAAAGCTGGAAAATATGAAGTTAGATTGCTCGGGAAGGGTTGAAGAAACACAGGGGACGTCATTTTCTGAAGCAAACTGTTGCTGATTTCAGATTAGCACATTTAACTTCTGCACTTGAAAAAACCCAAATTATCTCTAATTGAAAATGCTAAGTAATTACACCGAGTTCCTAAGAATGACATTTTATTCCTTCCTTCTATACATAATCTTTAAGCAAAAAGAGATATTAATTTAATTAAAAGTAATTTGACTTACGTTGGAATAAAATGTTTTGTTCTATCCTCCTCTTGTAGCTAAATTCCTGTACCGACATTGAGCAAGATGTACTGAGTGAATGCTTAGCTATGCAACAGCTCCACACATCTTCACAACACATTTTGGATGGCAAGTGTGGTAGATCTGTAGGTCATCATGATTTAATTACAGGTAAGAATACTTCAAATGCGTATGGTGTTAAATACGTCATGTAATAGAGGATCTAAACCAGAAAAGCTTTTGGGTCTGATTTGCCGCTATAGAAGATGAAAAAAACCCCAACCCAACCCAGGAAATAAAATTAACTAATTTGGGAGTTGTTTACTAAGGCCTGAGTGTTTTTTTTAGCAGAGTGAGTCAGCCAAATGGCTCCTATTAATTTCACATGAGGGGTGTAGCAGCCCTGCTGAAGGTCAGCCTCTGTCCATTTAGAAGTTTGCCTTGGCTTGAGCAGAGTGCAGGTGCGTGAGCTTTCCTGAAGCCAAACGAGTGCTCTAGCAAAGACAAAGGCACACAGCCATAAGGGTTTTCAGCTCTTCAGGAGCTGCAGAAAAGTTGATGAGGCTGTGTATTATCATGCACTGTGTGGTTGTAACAAATAATATGGTGATGTATGAATGGAGCAAAGCTTGAATGTGAAATGTCAGACATGCTGGTTCAATTATCTTTTCTAGTATTTAATCTTTCTTTCATTCCTTCTTGTCTGTCTTTTCTTTCTTGTGGGTTGAACAAGAGCTGGCCCCTTTCAGGGACCTTAGGCAGTTCCATACATCTTACAGGAAGAGAAAAGATGCTTCCATTCCCTTCTGCAGAAAATAACATCTAGGTTCACAACTTCTGAACCTCAGTGGAGGCTCCCAAATCAGGGATGTAGCAATCTCAGGTTCTTTGTTTAGCCAGCTGAGAGAAAGAGGAACTCTCAAAGGCCATGAGTTTAATGTGATCTGCCTCACCTTGTAAAGGCACTCATATTCCTCCACTGATTGTAGAGATTAGTGTGAGGAACCTTTCATTTAGGTGTTTTCACTCTCAAATCTCTTTCTGTCCATATAACTATTTATCCCCTTTTCTAATTTTCATACTTATTCTTGCCTTCAGCAACATCATCTATCAATCACTGAGTTACAGAGCCCTTATTTTGGGGGGGGTTTTACTTTTCTTGATTAATTTTGAACATGCAACTTTCAGATGATGTTCCATGAGAAAAATGTGCACATAGACAGTTACTTGGTCTGCTTTGTAGAACCTGCTTTTAGAGAACCATTCATGTTACTGCCTTTGAAACTTCTCTAACTCTGTAATATTCATTTTGGGATGGGTAACCAATACTATGCACAAAACTCCAGACTGCACCATTCACTTGATGAAGAAGCTGTCACTGTGTTTTCTTGGGTGATTCTCTCTCATGTTCCAGATGCATCCCTCTATTTTTAACTCATTTTTTAATGACAGCTGCACATTGGAAATGGGATGGATGGATGGATGGTGGCATTTTATACCTTGCACATTGCATGGACTGTAGAGAATCTCCAGGAAAAAAGATGTAACATTTATTAATCACATTTTCCTTCTCTCACTGTTTAACTAATAATGCATACTAAGTTTTGGACAGACTGTTCCTAATCTGGGGACAAGGAATTTGGAGGCTGGTATACCGCATGCTCTGCCTAAAAGTGGAGGACAGTTTGAATCATAAAATCACAGAATTGTTTGGGTTGGAAGGGACCTTAAAGCTCATCCAGCTCCAACCCCTGCCACGGGCAGGGACACCTTCCACTAGAGCAGCTTGCTCCAAGCCCTGTCCAGCCTGGCCTTGAACACTGCCAGGGATGGGGCAGCCACAGCTTCTCTGGGCACCCTGTGCCAGCGCCTCAGCACCCTCACTATAAAAGATTTCTTCCTTGCATCAAGTCTGAATCTCTCCTCTTTCAGTTTAAAACCATCACCCCTTGTCCTATCGCAACAGGCCCTGCTAAAAAGCTTGTCCCCATCTTTCTTACAGTCCCCATTTATACACTGGAAGGCCACAATAAGGTCTCCCCAGAGCCTTGTCTTCTCCAGGCTGAACAAGCCCAGCTCTCTCAGGCTTTCCTCATAGGGCAAAGTCTTCAGATTGCAGACCAGAGCCAAGGTGAGACACAAAAATGCAGGGATGGCATTTTTGAAGACTTTTCTTTCAAACTTGGTCAATATTGGAAAAGTTCAGTGCTATTAAAATCCAACATTATTCATGCAATTATTTAATTTAGAGCTAAATTAACCTTGATTTGAGAGGACTTTATCCTCTTTCAATTCCACTGTGAGGAGAGGCTTGACTTGCTATTGCTAAATAAGTTTTAAATTGATTTAGTAACTGAGTACAAGCTTTCCAGTGAAACCCTGGCTTGTTTCTATTGAGGCTTATTGAAATCCAATGGTAAACTGGGATTAGAAAACAAAAGTGCCTGGTGCTGGTTCCTCTGCACCAAGGGAAGAACTGATGCACTTTATTAATGTATTTTGCTTTGAAAGGGCAAAGTAATAAAGTACTAAACATTACTTAGGCAAGACCTTAAAAACTAACCCAAGAAATGCATCCTGCTTGACATCCGTTCTCCTTTCTGGTTCAAGTTGTGCTAAAATGTTGGAATGTAACTGGTGAACAGAATGGAGGAGAAAGGGAAACAACCCATAATCCTCCCAACGTTGTTCCCTTGGGAGCCTGCACTCACGGTCTATATGTGGCTCCTTGAAAAGTGGCAGAAAGCTGGAGGGACTTGGGGGGATTCTTTCCCTTCTCTACCACTGTCATCTGCACTCTTGAGGTCTGTGAGGGCAGCACGCGGTCTCTGCTCTCCACCCTCGCCATGGCTTGGCCTCTCACTTCCAGGCAGGACAGGCCAGACCAGGGATGTTTCCCTCAGAACAGGCTTCACTTAAGAACCTCAGAAATAGCCTCAGATTTCAAGTGATGACAATAAAACAGGGAAGAAGTTATTTGCTTGCAGATAAACAGACCACCCCTAACCTCTCAGTGTCATCTCCAAGAACCTCTTGTGAAATGAAAGCTTTTGTCTATCACTAACACTGCTCTTCTCTGATACAATTTCTTTGCTGATTATATCAATCCATCACCAGGATGTTGTAAAAAACCCAGTAATTCTTCCCCAATGCTTCCATTGGGTCACCCCATATGAGACCCCATCACATGCACGGTATGAAGAAGTGCCAGGGAAAATAAATCAAGATTTGAAATACTGTTTTACAGCGAAACAGAAGTTTCTTCCTACTATGTGTAGTACAATTCCGTAGGCAAACCTGTTCCTCTGTCATAATTTAGGGTACATAAACTAAAGTGCTGTTCCTTACAGAATTAAATCATAAGGACATTCCTGCTGCCACCTCTGCAGCCACTGTCTGCAATGGTTGCACATTTGCCCTTTCAGACAAACAGAGCTAATATTCCTGGAGCAATCAGCTCCAGTAGTCTGTACAGGATATTCATGGCTAAGTACAGCGTATGATGTCCTCTTGATTCCACTTGGAAATACGAAAATGTTCATGGTTTGGGGTTTTTGTTTTGAGTTTTGGGTTGGTTTCTTTTCCCCTCCCCTCCCCAAGAAACCACATTATTAATGTGCAGAGCTCTGGGCTTTAGGGATCACTCGGATTCCTGGAGAGTTTCAGTTTTGTCTTTCTCCAAGTTAAAGCACATTTTAAATATGTCAGGGATGAAAACCAATCCCAGGAAAAGTGAAATATTTCAAAAGCTCCCATCCCTTGTGCCTGACTTCAAAGCAGGTTTGTGCTTAGGGTAAGACAGTGAGCAAAAGAATGTTTTGCAGCCAGAAGAACCCATTGTTTCCTTAGAACGTCCTCTTTTTTCCCTCCTCATAAGTAAGATTCTTCATGGCTGCGAACATTCAGCTCTAGCTGTGAGCTCGTGTCGCTTTCCCTGCAGAGGAAGCGTCTCCATTGAGGTAATTCCACTTGGGCATTTTCTCTGGGCATGTTTTATTATTGTTTTTCTGGTCTCAGTTAGCATAAAGCTGGGTTAAGAAAAGGCTGCTTGTCACAGATGCCGGAGGACTGCTTTGGCAGCAGATGTTAAGGTTAAAGGCCAAGCCATTTAAAATATTGATTGATGACATATATTTACAAGCTAAGATGGTCAATGCATGAAGAGGCCCAAGGTGCACAGTCCTGAAGTGGGTTGTACTTGCAGAAACAGTCATTCCTAACAGCTCCAAAGGCTTCTGTTTGACGTCTGGTACTCAGAATATTATAGCTCACTGCTGAAAAAAAGGTAGAAAAAATGTAAAAGGAGCAAAAGCAGAAGTATTGAAAATTATACTGAGGCTGGAATTGCAACTGCTCTTCTCTCCTTCACTTATTCCATTGTAGAGGCACCTCATTTCCTCAAAGGGGAAATGGGATCTTCATTAAAGACAGCATTTCTCTCCCCTCAAACAAAACCTTTCTGTTAAGGCTTGGCAGTGGGAAGGACATCACACACCCTCATAGCAGCAGATACCTCCTGCTTCCCTGAATGAGACAGCTCACCCTCTCTTCCCTGATAAGCAGCCACTGCTAATATGTCCTTCTTAAAGCACCATCTTTGAGCTTAACACCCACGAACACACCATTGGGTAGACACGGAATCAGTGACAGCAGCTCCAGACTTTGAGGGCCTGAAGTCTGCAATAAAAACATGTCAAAATGAATTCCAGTGGCAGCATAAATGACTGAGAGCTGATAGCATTCACAGCGCCAAGAACAGCGCCCTGCACAGTGCCATGACCACAGCGAGGTCTGTCCCTCTGAGGGACGTTAATGTTCTGTTGGAGTGCCCTTCTTTTGCACTGGGTAAGAGATAACTTTTAACTTCAAGTAAGTACCAGTGTGGTTCTCAGTGACTCAACAGAAATGACTAATGTCTCATTGCAGACTCACATGGAATCGCATAGTGAACCCCATCTTCCATTGTGTGTGCCACACGGCCCTCAAAGCACTCTTAATTACAGGCAGACTCCCCTTGCAAGCGCAGCAAGTGAACAATAGGGTTGATTCTTTGTCTATGTTGGCTCGTGTTTTGGCTTTCTCTCCATCCAGAAGCTTCAGGGGTGGGTGCAGCCCTCACCCAAATGGTAAGCTGTGCAGTCTCAGAGCCTCACCACCCAGCCCAGGAGCACACTGTCTGATGCCAGCTCCCCCATTCCCCCGCTAGCCCTGTCCCTGAGGGACACACACCATACACGTCGGAACCGGGTTTGGTCTCAGTTCCTTAGGAAGCACGGCCGATGCAATCATTCTGCTCACCTCTCTGCCCACATGTGTGTCACCCCCCTGCCCCACAGTCCCTTTTGAAACCCCTGAGCCAAGCTCAGCAGCATTTGACAAATTCCTCACAGATAATTGCCTTCTGACAAGCTTCATGAGTACTGGCAGCTGGCTACCAGAGAGTGGCACCCAAAATCAGTGCTCCCGCCGCCGCGGGAGAGGCTCAGCTGTGACACATGCTGCTTGGCAGCAGGCAGCACACGTGGAGCACCACATCTGGCAGTGTCACAGGGGCCAGCTGGATTTACCCTCATCTTGTGGCCGGCTGTTGGTTGGGTGATGCTATGGAGAGGGGTGTCAGTGCAAGGGGAGCCGGCAGCTTCTGGGGTGAGGCTGCACAAGCTGCGGTGTGGAAGGGGGGTGAGGGGATGTGAGAACAAGAGACTCCATGTGTCAAACTGAGCGTGAGTGAAGGCGTTGTGGTAAGTAAAAGATGTAGGAAGAGGAAAAGTCACTGATGAACAAACCCTGCAAGCCGCAGCACACACATGCTCCAAGCAGGGACCTTTTCCAGAGGAGGTGTGATCAGTAAGTCAAAAGTTGGATAGATTCAGGGTAGATGGGAGAAACCCTGCTTTATCCAGGAGAGGAGGTCCAAGCATTACTCTTCAGAGCCAACAGTGGGCAGATGGGTGAACTCCTCTGCATAGTGGCTGGGTATGACAGAAACTAGGGGTGACAGGGATTATGGTTTCATTTGGTTTTCTGATGAGGAGGCTTTGAGTGCATGGGATCATGCAGGACTTGGCTCCTGGACATCTGGATGGGGGGGGTGTTTAACATCTTCTTGCTTCTCTAGAGGAGTATGCTGATTGTAAGTGCTCTGCTACTCTTTCTCATCTACCTCAAGCAAAGAATTGCACTGTGCTCAATAGCTGCAACAGTAAGGAAGGGGCCAGGAGAGATTCCTTTAACGTTCGTGAACTGTTCTGGGTGGGAATGTAAGGTAAACCATTGGAGTGTGTTTACTGGCCACCACACTGCTAAAACTGCCTTCTGAGGGGTTTTGAGCTTTTTGTGTGAGTTATTGACAGGGGCCAGTAACCGTCTGCCAGCCTTAGAGAGCACAAACATCTTGTTTTAGGTTCAGCAGTTTCCTTCGGGCTGTGCTGCCAATATACCTGCGCCGTGTGTTGTAGGAGATGCAGCTGAAGTGTGAAATGACACAGTACAGACAAGGTCAAATTGGTATTTGGCTCATCCTCCAAGCCTGATAATGAATGTATGAACAGTGAGGATCTGGGGGAGTGGAAACTATTGTATTATAAAATGGACCGAAGCCACCAGTAGAAAAATGCCATTTTTACAACATAGCATCCTAGCTACTGACTTACTGTTCTCAAAAGAGGGTTTGACAAATAAATCCTAGCATCACCTGGGAACATCTGACTTCTTAAAGCCCCTTCTGTTGGGCTTTTGGTGCAGAAAGCAACTTGGTTTCACTGGCTGATTGACAGATGTTCTGTCTCGTGGGAGACGGAGATGATGTGGTTCATTTTTGTTGCTTTAGATCTGTCCAACAGCTGAGGACTCATTGTTCATGAGAGGTTTTTGACTCATCCTAAGTCCCTGACAAAGGTGGCTGGAATCTTGCCTTGGTGGATCTGCTCTTCAGAAACAGATGCTGACCTTCAGCCGTTGCTTATCTGCCCAGAGGGCTGTCACACATTCCCCACAGCTCCAGATTTTCATGTTGTCTTCTGGTTGTTCCATGTCACTGCGAGGTTTGGGGGAAGTGCCATCCAGAACCCTGTCAGTGACATGGGACGCAGCCAGCAGAGCTGACACACAGCTTCCTGAATGTGTAGTTCTGCTTGCAGTGTAACGGGAAAGATGGGTGCTACAGGAGGAGAGAATGCAGACCTCAGAGAGGGTATGGGGTCATCTGTGCTGTATAGCTTCACACTACAGGACAGCAAACTTCATTTGCTCCCTACAGCCTTCAGAATACAATGTGAGTGCTTGCTCCATTCCTCCACTGTGTGCAGATTCCCTGGCCAAAACACTGGGAGGTACGTTGTAGGCAAGCTTTAAGAACAGGAGGAGAAGGGAGAAGAAATAGAGAAAAGACAGGCTAGGTTTTGTCAAGACTTGTGTCGACCAGGAGGCAGTCCTGTTTTCCCCCGTGATAGGGTGGCATTTATAAACAGCATTTGTAACTCTAGGCAGCAAGCACTTCCGTGAGCTCCCCTCATTACAGAGACTGGCCCACAGTGCAGTCTTCATGCCAAAAGTCAGTGTCAAGGCCCTGATCCCTTAGGTCTGTCTTAGTGCACGGCTTACTCTTTAGAAGGGAGATGATAAGAAAAATCTTAATCCAAGAGTCCTGGACAAACATTCCTCAACAAAGTACATACTTGAGGGCATGGCAGACACTTGGCTATTGGTGCCTGACTGCCATGGTAGAGGAGAGTAGCCAGAGTACACCCCAAAATGGAACATTAACATCCTTCAGTACCTCTGTGTAAACCTTTTGTTTTCATGGTCTCACTACAAATTTCTCCTGCTTGAAAGTCAAGTTAAAAAGTTTGAAATTACCAAAAAAAAAAAAAAAAAACAACCCCAAAACCCAGGTCCTGACCCCCCCTTATGCAAACACAGTGCTCTGAGTTCAGGGTCTGATGTGATGCTGGTATCAGGTACCGCTCTGCTGTCAAATGAGCTCCATCATGCTGCAAACAACTGAGCACGGCAGGTTCTCACTCAGAAGTGGTGTAAGGGCAGGGTGGGAGTCCTGCCAAGTCCTGCTGGCTGGCAGGAGGAGCGCTTACAGGTCTGCAGTCAGAGCAAGGAAGAAGCGGACCACCTGAGGGCTGCAGGAGAGACGCATGTCAAAATGCCTCGGTACAACTTTGAGTGCTGTTCCAAGCACAGCAGGATTCACTGACACACGGGGCACCATGCAGGTGACTCCCCCAGCCGAAGCGGGCTGCCGTGTGTGTGTCTCGGGGTCAGGTGGAGGAACAGGGAAGGAGCTGGGGACTCTCCAGGACTTATTTGGACGTTTTCTTGCTTATTTGATTTTGCAATATGCTGTGTGTTCACAGGCATGTACAGTGGCTCCAGCGCTAACCATAACGGTCCCTCACCAGGTATATTGCCACCTCCTCACGACATCCCTTCAAGACAGCATCCACTCGACTCTACCCTTTCCAGCCCACATCACCACCAGTCACCGTTGGAGAGTGCCAGGGATGGGTATGTGTGTGAAAGATGATAATGAATAATTAATTGTGTATTTTACTTTGTATGGACGCTGTTCCAATGGAAAACACTGGCCCAAACTGATTCTGTTTGGTTTAGAATGAGAATAATCTAGTTTTAAAGAAACCTCAGAAGGTCACGCCATCCATCCTCTGTGCAAAGCAGAGCAAACTTCGACTTTATTATCAGGTTATTCGGGGCTTTGGCCTTGTTTCTCCATAGCATGCAATTGCATTTAGATTCTGTTTTTTTTTATTCTTCCTTGGTGACTTCTGACAGGTTTGGATAGGTGCAGATAATTTTTCTCAGCTCAAAGGAGAACTCTCTCAAAGGGGAAACCCCCAGACCATGACTCAGGAATAAGGCAGTGTTCACCTTAGTAAGACTTAGTGTCAGAGCAGCAAGGTTTCTCACTTCCTTGCTCTCTGATAAGATTTTCTGTAACACATTTCTCAACAGTGGGCATTAATCAGCGAGATCCTAATTAGGGAAGAGTGTATTATCACTCTGATACATAGATTCTATTGCTACAGTATGGATTGCATTGCATTGCTACGGTATTTCACATTTCTAGAGTACCATTTGCTCAAGGATATCGTAACGTCTCAACAGTAAAGAATCTCTGTAAGCCACAAAATTATGCTCTAATCTTTTTGGTCAGGCTTTTTTTGGCACCTAGCCTCATGTAAATTAAACATCAAACTTACAGTTTTATTTCCCAGCACCTGGGACAGGGAGGGGACTCTGATTTGGCTTTACTGATGGGAACCTGCGATACAGAGAGATTCAGGGATTTTCATTCCTAAAAATACTTTGGGGTTCTTTACTGAATACAGCAACTGAATGTAGAGTTTTCCCATCCTAGTCCTGTCACTGACCCATCCCCCTTGTAACAACCTTAGCTTCTGTACCCTGTTCCTCAGTCAGCCATCTCTTTTGACCTATGCCAGTAGCAGGTACCAGTGCTCCCTCCCAGTGTGTGATGCTCACAGGAACGGACTCATCCTGTCCCTGTCACATAAGATGCCTATGCCCAGCCCTTTTCCTTCCCTGCCCTGCCACCCGCATTCCCAGCTTTGTATTTCCTGTTGGCAGACTCATGCCCATGGCAGAGTCATGGGCAACAGAAGGCATTGGGAATGCTATTTAGATGGAAATTACACTAGGTACCTACAAAGCTTTCTGTAGTGGAGAAGGCAGTGAGCACAAATAGGAGGAATAGAGACAGTCCAGAGTGAAGGTAATCCATGAGCAGAATGGGACTACTTGAGCCTGGGGGAGTAGGATCCTTTCCTCCCAGTGCTCCCCAGTGTGCTGCTCAGCTGTTCCCCCTTGGAGTTGGTTCCCAGGGGAGTTAAGGCAAAAAATTCCAGCGAAGAATAAAGTGAAGTAGGGATATACTATGGGAAGGATTTAATAAGCTCTCAGGGAGGTGGATTTGTTTCCAAGGCACTTCACATCCAGGTGAAGTTCATAAGAAATGAAAACAAAGACTTGACCAGACTGAGGGCAAGAGTCTTCCAGTTTGAGGGGCCTGAAGCTCACTGATAAATTCTTGGTGCCCTTCATGTCTCCCTTCCAGAAACACCATGCTTGAGTGAGCTGAGTTTCTCACTGCGCTCCTGCTACAGCATTTTGAGCATTTGCTTAGACCAGAGGTGACGCCACCGTTGATGTCTGCTGTTTTCAGGTCTAGTGCAGTCACTGTTCTTTCTCAGAGGACACAACAGTGCTGATTATCATCTCAGTGCCTATACACCTACGTAATGTAGAGTCTTTGCAGAAACACCATAGTTAATATCCTATGACAAAATGTAAGAGTGAAACGATAACGGATTTCTAACCGTGAAGCAACCATCAGAAAATGGAGAGTGGCATGTATTTCTGAGTAGTTATTTTAAAACATGCTATCTAGTTTCATGACATAATTACACGGAATTTTTCAGCATCTCAAATATCCTTTTTTAAACTCAAAATAATCCACATTCAGCATCGTCATACCCAGTCCAAGATCCTTTTTGCTGTCTCTAATTGTTTATGCTTACATTATTAATGACTGCTGAAATAAAGCCCACGCATGACATTTCAATTGCAAGTAGAAAAACTTAGTGTGAACTAATAGGCCTCGAATTTCATTTTGCACAGTTTTGTTTAAGGCATTCATCCATTTAACTGGGCAAAATCACTTAATAATCTAATATTTGGAGCCACTGAATTGTAGAACTGTTACGCTTTTGCCAGTTCATAGCAGTATGCCATTACTCACATGAAATATATATGGCCTACAATAGGAAAGAAACACCCACCACTGCCTTCCTTCATATTAGCTGCTTTCTGGCACACACAGAATGTTTTGCCTCATTTGTCAGCTGTCTCAGCATTCATGTTTAAGTAAATGCAAAGAATTTCTATACTGTGAATCAGCCCGATGACAAGCCTGGATTGCATAGTTTCAGTCTGTGGAATGAACCAAATGATTACTATCAAGAAATCTAATTACTGAGTCATCAAATATGCACGATGCCAAAAACTACATGAAGCAGAGTACAAATAGTGTACTCCAGTTTGACATAAGAGTCCGAATTTGATTTAAAGGGGTTTTCTTCTTCTTTAAAAAAAGCCCTCTGTTATACCACCCTTTGCCAAAGTCAATACCAAGTGCAGCAGTCAATTTTCCAAATGGTTTGCTAAGACATTTAAATAGTTTGACAAAATTATCTAATTCACTTGAAAATGTTCTAACAAAATCTGACTTCATTACCAAATGTATTTATACTGGCTTTATACAATACAGAGTATTTTCTCAACTTCTGGCATGAGGTCTATGCTAGACCACAATTTTTACTCATATTGATACTAATTAAGCTAAAAGTGTGTGACTGAGAAATATTTTGGCACCCCGAAAGTGGGTTTGTCATAATCCAGGTTTAAATATACATTTAATTTTTATTTCAGGTAGCAAAGGTTTATTTTAGCATTTCTTGTAGCCCGTGCCATGTGTAACGTCTAACCCAGTTTCATTTTGCCCATTGCAAAAATAGTCCAGTTTGATTTGTAGCAGAACGAAGACAGAAAAACAGCTTTTGGTATTAAATCTTAGGTGAATGTTGCACTTGGCTTGCTTTCTACTATTTTGTTAGCTGTTACTATCTAAGTCATTTTAAAATGTGCTTAATTTCAAGTGTAAACCATCTCTGTAAATTCCAGTTTAGACTATTTAGTGTGATAAATTATCAGCTTAAATGAAACTGATAGGAATAAAGTTAAGTGAGGTTGAGTGGTGGCACCAAGTTAGGGATTTGCACCAATTTAGCTTAATGACCTAACAAGGTCACTTTGTAGGGTCTGAACATGGTCCCTCTATACGGGACTGAGGCCCTCTGTCACTTGTGTTGCCCATAACAAACAGCACTTATGTTCTCCAAGAAGCTGGGGGTACTGACAAATAATCACTGTATCAGGAAGGTTGATGTGTCTCCAAGGGAAAGGAAAGTGAAACTATTTTTTATATTCCATTTCTGCTCTGTAAACACAACAGTAAATGAAGAACAAGGGGGATTAAGACATCTGCGATGTCCGCAGGTGATGATTAATGACAGCTCTGAATCTAATCTTGTGATTCTTTAATATAAGGGATTAAGCAATCAAGGTTAGAGGAAGGAATTTACACACTCTCTTTTGCTGGGGTTCTCACCAGCTAACTGTAACCAGCTCAAACTATGTTCCAGACCCCCCTGAAGAGCCACTTAACCTATACAAAAATCACAAGAAACAGGATTTAGGAGCAATCAAGTGAAAAGAGACATTTTAATCAGGCTGCTTAAACATCAGTTTTGTTTGCTTGCTACTTAGCACCTGTTAAGTCAAATACCATAGAAATACTTTAATGTAAAGAGTTCTCTGTTAACAGTTTAGTCCTTCCTTTCTCTTTACATGAAGTAACAGCAGGTACACGGAGCTTCCCTTCTTGCTCAGCCAGAAAACACCAGATTTGAAATTCCCGATACGTTTAAGGTTGAAAACAAATACATAAGATAAAATCTCGGTGTGTTAGATTTGTGTATACAACTGCCACGTTACACGTTGGCAATAAGAGGCTGTAAGCCAGCTCCTACCCCTGTCTAAGCCCTTGTAACACACATTGCCAGGGCCCCCTCAGGTGCCTCCATTTCAAAGCAGAATGTGGTCCAGCCCCCTCCACCTGCTCTCAGTGAGCTGCAGAGCTGGGAGATGATGACAGCATATAAAAGGTTTGGTGGGTGCTTGCTCATCAGGTGAGACCACACTCAGACTGTGGCTGTAAGAGTTTCAGTGCTCTTTTCAAGCAGCCAGTTTTCTGAAGCATGACTGTTTTTGGGGTAAGATTTAAGAAATCACCCCAAAACCAGTAAAAGAAATGGGGGAGATTCTTTTCTATGCTGTCTCATAGAATCATAGAATGGTTAGGGTTAGAAAGGACCTTAAGATCATCCAGTTCCAACCCCCCTGCCATGGGCAGGGACACCTCACACTAAACCATCTCACCCAAGACCTCATCCAACCTGGCCTTGAACACCGCCAGGGATGGAGCATTCACAACCTCCCTGGGCAACCCATTCCAGTGCCTCACCACCCTAACAGGAAAGGATTTCCTCCTTATATCCAATCTAAACTTCCCCTGTTTAAGTTTTAACCCATTACCCCTTGTCCTATCACTACAGTCTCTAATGAAGAGTCCCTCCCCAGCATCCCTATAGGCCCCCTTCAGATACTGGAAGGCTGCTATGAGGTCTCCACGCAGCCTTCTCTTCTCCAGGCTGAACAGCCCCAACTTTCTCAGCCTGTCTTCATATGGGAGGTGCTCCAGTCCCCTGATCATCCATCTCCTTGAACTGGCAGAATCCAGGCCAGGTAGGAAAACGTTTGTATACCTAATTCTCATTACTTTAAGAGACGGGTGTTATAACTACTTACGTCTAACTTCTATTAATCTTTAAGTTTGTGGGCTCACATAA